CAATGCCCACAAACGGAGGCGGGAATGCTGCCATGGTGCCTTATGGTAGTTGTAGGTTAGTTGCCTCTTGCCCTATTATACCCTCTGAGCCATGCTTCTGGCTGAACTACATCTCCCAGAATGCACCATAGTAGTGTGGGTACCTTGCTGGTTGCTATGCTGGGCCGTGGGTTGTGAGTGACCTCCACTGGCTGCAGCATGGCCCAGCAGGGCAGGGGATAAGTCATTATGCAAGGGGGCTTCAAACCTGTCTGATGAGTTCTTCCCCAGGGAGCGGAACAATGGGAAGAAGGGGAGTGGAGCCCTGGCTGGGGGGCAGGGTTGGAAGTGAGTGGATGAGTTTGGGGGTCTGAGAGCATGGAAGAGACAGCCTAGGGAAAGGGGCTGGAATTTAGGGGCCCAGTCTCCCCCATCTCAAGGGGGGCTGAGGCATCCTAGGCCTGCCCTGTAACCAGATTACATCTGTGCTGTATCCTGGAGAAGCAATAAACACCCTCTATTCTACTGGCTGGTGGAGTCTGTCCGTGCCATTACGGGGGTGCAGGAGACGGGAAAACCTCAACGCGCCGTCACACAGCCCATAATGCACCAATTCCCCTCCCCAAGGGGGAGACAGTGGTGCTTCATGGGAAACGTAGTTTGACTAAGAAGCCCAGAGGAAAATGGGAACATGAGGCTCTCAAACTATAACTTCCATAAGTCACTGTGGCAGCATTTCCAAAGAGAAATATTTTCACTTTTGAATCTTCACTCAAAAATTAAAATTTCTGAGTGCTTCTCCCTCCTCCCCCACCCGCACTTTTGCCAGTGTATCCAGACACCATCATAGAAAACACAATTTCCCCCCTCCTGCCCAGGGAAGGGCGTAGTACTTTGGGGCTGAGTTTATGGAACAGATGGATTCTTAGGTTCTACTTACCAATACAGGTAAGGTAGAGCATGGTACTATGTATAGCTGTCCCCCCATCTTGCCCGTAGTATGAAATCCTAACCTGCAAAGACATCATCCAATCAACATGGCCACTTTTAAGACAACATTGCCTGTAGCGAAGCAGAGAGTAAAACAGACACAGCCTGGGGACCTAGCGCTTGCCATGGATGAAACCGGAGCGAGAGTCCTGCGTGTGGTCTTCCACTTGACAAAGCCCTGGCTAGGATAATTTAGTTGGGGTTGGTCTTGCTTTTAGCGGTGGTGGGGGGTGGACTCGATGACTTCCTGAGGTCTCTACCAACCCTAAAATTCTAAGCTGGGAGCAACCAGGAGTGCTGTGCACGCGACTCCATCATTAAGAATGATTCCAAGCTGGGAGCAACCGGGAGTGCTGTGCACGCGACTCCATCATTAAGAATCGTGATTTTAAGATGAGAGGATGGTTGTGCAGCTCAGGACCTAGGCCAGGACTCAGGCATTCTGGGCACAATTCTACATCCCTCATCTATGAAGGAGGATTATATTTCCCTTATTCCACTGTCGGTTTTCTCCAGGTAGACCAGCAGCTCTCTGGGGGTCCTCAGACTATGTCTAAGATTTCCAGAGGGTTCTGGACTGCCATTCAAAAACGTTAAAGGGTTTGCATATGAAAAAAAGAGGTTGAAAACCACTCATTTAGGCAGTTCTGCTGGCCAGGGATGGTCACTGTACAGCATGTAGCCCAGGGGCTCTGGAGGGTTCTGGACTGCCATTCAAAAACGTTAAAGGGTTGGCATATGAAAAAAAAAAAAAAAAGTTGAAAAACCACTCGTTTAGGCTCTCCTGGCCAGGGATGGTCACTGTACAGCATGTAGCCCAGGGGCTCTGCAGATGCTACTGTAATACAAATACTAATTCAGAGACAAGTCGTATCGCTCCCTCGTGGAAATGTGCAACAGGATAATGAGTCTAAATAATCAACAACCCTTCAGCAAGTGAAAACAAAGGAGCAGGTCCAGGCTGCTGCCAAGTCTAAATAATCAACAGCCCTTCAGCAAGTGGAAACAAAGGAGCAGGTCCAGGCTGCTGCAACGAAGCAGTTTTATAGCTGGGCTGTTTTCCTAGTCAGCGAGGCAACAAAAGTCCTGCCTGGAAATGCATTGCCCAGGGATTCATGGGATACCCCGCTCATTCTAATGCCCCAACATGGGCTCCCTTAGCAAGCAGGCATGTCAGCAGTCAAAGCACAGCGTCTTCAGGCCTGGCCTTAGGGCAAGGCAAGCAAGGTGGTGGCTTTGGACCCCGTGCCTTCAGGACCCTGTGCTGTCCAGCGCCTGCCTGCCCAGCTGCTCGCTTGCTGCCCTGGCTGGAAGCCGTCCGGCCATGCGGTGAAGCTAACCACAACATGCCGCTTTGAGCCCTGCAAACTCTTTGGCCAGGCCTGAGCATCTTTGTTCATCAACTTCCAACACCCTTTGGCCTGGTCCAGCCGGGGCTTCCAAACAGCAGCGCCCGCACTCATGGAAGTCTGCCCTTGTGTTTCTCCCAAGGTTGTTTCTCGCCTTCCAAACGCACCTTATGATCATTGATGTCTTTGCTCGGGGCCTTCATAGTCACCATCACCTCCACCTCATCATCTAGGGGCCATCTGGGCACACACGTTGGTACCTTGGCAACCTGAGGGTTGTGGACAATATAGATGTCAACACCAGGGGTGCCACGGACATTGAACGACGTAGCGTCCTTCGGGGCTGATCTGAGGCAGAGGAAGAACATTCAGTTACCGTCGCAGCTGGAAATCCCATCCACTCCCTAGTTCAGCTCCATAAAGATGCTACAGTGAGACAGCTCCACTGGCCACCTGACAGCTCCTGTTCTAAGGCGAGGGAATTCCACAGTAAATGCAAAGGCTGTGGGCAGAGTCAGTGACACCCCGGCAGATCCTGTTGTAAACTGCCAGAGTTTGTACTTCAAGAGCAGACATGTGGGAGGGGAGCCAATAGTATTCAGTACTTTGGTGTGGGCAGGGATAGCGGAGATCTTGGAATACGAAGGCCAAGTGGATCATTCTTCCAACACAGATTACGAGAGCTTGCTGCCTCTGTTACAAGTCTATGTATCATAGAATAAGGGACCTTGAAAGGTCATTTAGTCCAGTCCCCTGCGCTCCTGGCAGGACCAAATATTTCCCTGGCTGGTTTTTGTCTAACCTGCTCTTAAAAATATCCAGTGAAGGAAATTCCACAACCTCTCTAGACAATTTATTCCAGAGCTTAACCAACCTGTTAGGAATTTTCTTTTCCAAACGTCCAACCTAAACTCCCCTCGCTGCAATCTAAGCCCATTGCTTCCTGTCCTAACCTCAGAGGTGAAGAACAACACATTTTCTCCCTCCTGGTACTATTTTATGTACTATGAAACTGTTACGTTTTTCGTTCTTTTTTAGACCATCACTCATTTTGTTGCTCCTTTCTGGACTGTTTCCAATTTGTCCACATTTTCCCGAAACGGTGCCCAGAACTGGACACAATACTCAGGTTGACACAGAGTAGACCAGAAGACTATCTTGTGTCTTGCTCATAACACTTCTGCAAACACATTCCAAGTTCACATTTGCTTTTTTGCCCCAGTGTCACCCTGTTGACTCATATTTAGCTTGTGATCTGGTAGAACCCCCAGATCTCTTTCCCAGGACCGGATTAAGGCCTGGGCTATCCGGGCAGCTGCCCAAGGTGCCAACCAATGGGGGGCAACTGATGGCATCTGTAAGGGACGTGCAGCACCCCTTATAGCTGCCATCAGGCGCTACATGTCTGGCTCCCAGATCATGGCTATAGCAGCTCCCAGTTGCGACCCTGCAGCGGCCGCCCGGGGCGAGGGCTGCGTTAACCCCTGCAGCACCGGCCAGCAGCGCACTTCCCCTCCACGGCCAGGCTCGGCCTGCCATGTGCGGCCCTGGGCTGCGCGCCAGAGGTGGTAGCTGGGCCGGGCTGGGCCGATGCGCCGTGCCGCTGCCAGCTCTGTGCACCCTCCCCCATGCGCCGGTGCAGGGGTGGAGCCGCGCATGCGCCCTCCCCCATTCCGGGGTGCAATTCAACTGTCTGCCCGGGGTGCTGGAATGGCTCGGTCCGGCCCTGCCCTTTCCACAGCACTCCATCCTAAGCAGTCATTTCAAATTGCGTCTGTGTGCAGTGGATTGTTCCTTTCTAACTGGAGTACTTTGCATCTTCCCTTAATGAAGTTCGTCCTGTTTACTTCAAACCAGGTCTCCAATTTCTCAACATTACTTTGAATTTTAATCCTGCCCTCTCATGCACTCGCAACCCCGCCCAGAGTGGCATCAACCGCAAACTTTATCAGTGTACTCATCGAGTCGTCATCGAAATCATTGACCAGAACGGGTCTTGGCAGGACCCTTTGTGGTACACCCTGCCAGCATGACTGAGTCATTAATAGCTACTCTCTGGTGCCCCGGGGCCAGCATAACTGTAGGGGAGTCAACAGTCATGCTGGGCCCCTGGGTTAGGGGGAGGGGCGCCGTGTTTCTGGAAGGGGCAAAGCCTTGGGTGGGAGGGGAAGATCTGGGGCCATCAGTCCTCAGTGCTACCCAGAATGCACCATGCTCTGCTCCTTGCCTTTAGAGTCGCCCACACCACGCTGCTCAGGGCTCCGGCGGTGATTTAAAGGGCCTGGGACTCCCCAGGAGCCCTGGGGCCCCAGGCCATTGCCCCTCCCCACTACCCCACCCCAGCAGCAGGCCTATCGCTGAGAATGATTTTTCAACCAGTTATGCACCCACTGTAGAGAGACTCCATCTAGGTTGCGTGTTCCCTGGTTGGTTAACAAGAAGGTCACGCGAGACAGGATCAAATGCTTTGCTAAAGTCAAGATAAACCGCATCTACCACTTCCCCCAGCCACCAGGCTTATGCTCCTGTCAAGGAAAGCAATTCGGTTGGTTGGAGAGGATTTGTTCTTGACAACTCCATGCTATTACTTAACGCCTTATCTTCTAGGTCGGGGCGGCCAACCAAGCCTGAGAAGGAGCCAGAATTTACCAATGTGCATTGCCCAAGAGCAACAGTTCTGTCATCAGCCCTGATCATCTCCCCGCCACCGCTCTCAGCACATCCCACCCACAGGCAGCCCCACCGCGCAGCGCTGCCTTCTCCTTTTCCTCCTGCCCACTGGGATCAGCTTTCTCAGTGGGAGACACTGGAGGGGGAAGCATGGGGGTGACAGGCTCAGTGGAGAAGACAGGACATGGCAGGTCTAGAGCAGAGCCGGGGGTGGAGCAGTGAGCATCCTCCGGCCCAGTGGAAAGCTGTAGCTCCAGCCCTGGATTTGGTCCCTATGCAAGGAGCTGCGTATTAACTTCCCAAGAGCTGGAGCCAGAGTTCGGCTAACTCCTGTTCTCGGCGTTTGCAAAAGGATCGCTTCATTATTGGCTCCATGATCATCTTCCTGGGCACTGAAGTTAAGCTTGCTGGTCTAAGTCAGTCCCTGCTTCCCCTTTGCTGGTCTGTAATTCCCTGCTTCCCCTTTGAATAGGCTGGCACTGTATTTGCCCTTTTCCAGTCCTAGGGAATCCCTTCGGTCTTCCCTGGCTTTTCACAGAGAATCGCCAACGGCTCAGGCACCTCCTCGGTCAGTGCCTGGCGTACTCGAAGCTGTATTTCATCAGGCCCTGGGCGACGAGCCCTAAAGCAGGGGAGTTCTGGGGGACAGCAGGGACAAGGGCCTTCAGCCCTTGCTAGCCAGTGACCTCGGAACGGCCCCTTTCAGCTGCCCAGGACAGAGGACCCCTGGCAACCCGAACTCATCCTTAAGAATCCACCTCTTCCGTTAACTCCAATGACCCGGCCTGTCGACAAGGGGAGGGGGCGCCAAGCGGGCAGTTGCCCTGGGGCCCAGTCATTCAAAGGCAGTGACAGCAGCTGGCCCCACCCCTTCCACCCACAGCCCCGCCCTCTTCCGGGGCACTAAGCCGGCCTCCTCCACATCTTGCTCCGAGGGTAGGGGGGCAGGATGGCTGTCGGCACCATTGCTCATGAGTCACGGCCTTCGCACTGTCTCTGTGGTTAGAGCGAGGATCCCTCCGGGCAGCTGTGCACACGCCAGTCACACCCAGCCAGCCACCGACCCAGGAAAGCAGCTCTTGCCAAACAGGTGGAGTTCAGCTCTCAGTAAAGCAGAGAGAACATGCTTTTCCCAGCCCTCCTCCCCGGATGGAGGAACCTGTCGGGCTGGCAGGCCCCAGCTTATGCTGCGATTTGGCAGAGCAGGGTCAGGAAGGAGACACGCAGTCCCAAGGCACGGTGCTCCTTGCACAGCCTCCTCACCTCAGCAGACAGCACATGGGGGACACGAGCCTATGGCTCCTAGGGAACGAGTGGTTAGAGGCAGCTCGGCTTTCCGGGGAACAGTGCAGGGAGGAGGCCTTGGGAGCATCAGATTCTGTTCTCACAGCTCATGGGCTTGAGTCAATCTCAGCCTGGGAAGCTGGTTGCTTCCCCTTTTAGTGCGCGTGTGACCATCGCCATAGCCCTGCGGAGACACTCAGGCTACGTCTAGACTGGCATGATTTTCCGGAAATGCTTTTAATGGAAAAGTTTTCTGTTAAAAGCATTTTCGGAAAAGCACGTCTAGATTGCCAGGATGCTTTTCCAGAAAAGCACTTTTTGCGGAAAAGCGTCCGTGGCCAATCTAGACGCGCTTTTCCGCAAAAAAGCCCTGATAGCGAAAATGGCGTTTTTGCGGAAAACAGAACTATGCTGTCTACACTGGCCCTTTCGGGCAAAAGTCTTTCGGAAAAAGACTTTTGCCCGAACGGGAGCAGCATAGTTGTTCCAGAAAAGCACTGATGATTTTACATTAGATTGTCAGTGCTTTTCCGGAAATTCAAGCGGCTAGTGTAGACACAGCCAATCTGTATCCACATATGCAAAAGGAAGCAGTGGATATCCGCCTGGACATCTGCAGATATAAAGTGGTATCCGCAGATTTGCAGAGTGCTAAACACAGCCCCTAGGAGCCAAAGACATGGATCAGAACCTTATTGCACCTGGCACTGCACAAACCCAGGAAAAAAAAAAAAAAAAAAAAAAAAAAAAAAAAAGACAGCCTCTGCCCCAAGAGGCTTACAAACCAACGCATGATGCAGACAGACAAGGAAACGCCAAGATGGCACAGGCCAGCACGGTCTCAGCACATCTCTGTTCCCAGTGGGTCTCACAGCAAAGGAGGGACTGCCTCCTTGTTCGAAGGGGTCTTCCTTGAGGACAGAGTCTGGCTGGTTGTTGCAGCTGTTCTCTTCCTGTCAGTTCATACTGCATGACTTAGGAGGAGAGGCTGAGGGAGTTGGGCTTGTTTAGTCTGCAGAAGAGAAGAGTGAGAGGGGATTTGAGAGCAGCCTGCAACTTCCTGAAGGGAGGTTCCAAAGAGGATGGAGAGAGGCTGTTCTCAGTGGTGACAGGTGGCAGAACGTGGAGCAACGGTCTCAAGATGCAGAGAGGAGGCTTAAGTTAGACATTAGGAAAAACTATTTCCTTAGGAGGGGGGTGAAGCACTGGGATGGGTTCCCTAGGGAGGGGGTGGAATCTCCATCCATAGAGATGTTTAAGTCCTGGCTTGACAAAGCCCTGGCTGGGATGATTGAGTTGGGATTGGTCCTGCTTTGGGCAGGGGGCTGGACTGGATGACTCCTGAGGTTTCTGCCAGCCCTGGGATTAGCAAAGAAGGTTGGTTCCATGGGGGA